AGAGTTGAGGAAAGCAATAGGGATCAGTATTTCTCAAACACAAATCGCTTACTGATAAGCCGTTGCCAAGGAAATCTTTCCTGTGCATTTGGGCAAAGAAAACATCTAATGCATTCTCTGCACAGTTCTCCTTCCAGTCACTCTATTGTAAAGGGTACAGAGAGATAAATGAGAGAGAAAATTCCCAGACAAATCAAATTTTCATAGAGGGATTTGAAGCCAGGCATGTAAAATAAGTAGGCAATAAATTCTAAAGATAAAATTAAAGTTTTCAACATGTGAAAAACACAATACATGACTGCAGTTACTTTTGGTGTGCTATGTACYTTTTAGCACTACTGCAGTTTTGGGGGAGAAGAGGGAAATGAGCCAGGGGAAATGGCTCATATGCAGAACAGAGCAGCAGAGGCAGAACACACCCAGGTCACTGTCAGTTTACTTCTGAGCAAAAAGAAAGCAACATTAGGAAGGAAGTGGGGATCAGACTGACTTGTTTGCTGAATATCAAGTTAATTAAATAAGAAAAGGCTTGTGCTTTCTTAAAAATGCTGGAGAACAACAATGAAATGACTTTTTCACATCTAAAGTAAATGGCTATCTCATTTTAATGCAACGCAGGTTTAGACACCAATGTCACGACTATCTAAAGAACTGCTGCATTTATCCAGACACATATCCTACACTTTTAAAGAGAGCAATTAATTAAGACTTCCCCCAACCCCTATGATTGCTTCAATTTCCTCTGAATTTCCTCAATCTTGAGATTGCCTTTGTAGTACAGGACTTTACCTGTAAGGTCACTGAAAAGACGTTACATTTCAAAACATGTCCTTCTTCACAGCAGCAGAATTTAAGAATTTGAGTATACAGAAAAATAGTTTCATGTAGTATCATTTAAAGATCACATGGTCAAGTGCTCTGAAATTCATGTTGCATTATCAGTTATTTACTGTGTTCTCCATAACTTACCACCATTCTGCAGTCCCTCTCCATGTTTAACTCACTGGAGAGAAACGCATACAAATAAAATTACAAGGCTCAAACAACATCCCGTTGCAAATATATAGATGCAGTTGACTCCTCCAGTGGGAGTACAAACCTCCTTATGACTTTAAGTGACCGTGGCACTTCTTAAATTTTATTTTTTATCTCCTTTGAGCATATTTCTTTCTTTTAATATGAGTTAAACGATAACAAAAAGTCTGATATGACACAGATAATTTTGAGCCTAACCATCTGCAAAGGTCATTAGAGAAAATGACAAAAAAAATTACTGATTCTTCATATTTTATACATTTGAAATTCTTATAAGCCTCTTACATAGTCACAGCTATGTTAAATTAAGCCTAAGGAATGAAAAAAACCCAAGCAAATAATTGCTACTTTGTTGTGAACGGAAATTTCCGCTAAACTTTCTTATTTTTTACTTATTCAAAAAAGAGAACAGTAATGGACTAAATTGCTCAAATTTGCAACAGCTGTGAGTCACTAAACCTCCAAAAGAACCTGATGGGTTTCATGGGAACTGAGACCAACTGCATGTGGAATATCAATTTCATGTGGCCTTGTATTTCCCCTTTCTGGGATGGAATTGCCTTAAAAGCCTCCATATTTATTTATGTCTTAATGACGTGACCTGTAAATAATATTCCAGAAAAAAAAAATCAATCTGTCAGTTACAAAATTATAGCTGTAAGAAAAGGGAAGTAGGTCACATGCTCAGCCACTAACTGTGTTCATTTCAGGAGCCAGTTTTTCTGAATTGAGATCCARTTCTATTTGTCACAAAACCAAACCATAATTCAGGAACATGGCTGAATTCTCAAAGTTAAGTAGAAACAGGAAAAACAAAGTTATTTGAACTACACCAGCCTTAATAATAGTAGTTCTTATTATAATAATTATTATTAATTATTTTCAAAAATATAATCGTACTAAAACCAATGGGATTCTACATGGAACAACATRTCCTGCCTGGGGGGACTCCAAGATATATGGCATTGAAATGGAACTTCAACAGATGGAACTTAAGGACCTGCCTTTGCAAAAATTATTTGCAGTTTGAAGAATCTCTCTTGACAACTCTTAAATCACGATTTTCAAGAAAAAGGAGGGAGATTTTCAGCACTTTGTGAAAATTACAAGTTTCTCAGTAACCTCAAAATTATCATATTCAATATTTTGGAAATTATAATCAAAAGGCTATTTTCCATTTTGACATCCAAGTCCTTTTTTTGTCACCATGACACAGCACTGCTTTACAGCATTACTATGAAAATGTGCCTGTGGATTTTGACATTTTGGAAGATTCTGTTTGCAYGTCATACTTTCTGCAGAAGAAAAAAATTAAGGCAAATATTTGATATTAAAAGCTCACATAGATTAAGTTATATTTAAGAGAGGATATTAACATTATAAAAATATGTATGGATTATTTATTTCTTAGTTAGCTCTGGCAATAAACTAACACACAGTATCTCGATCCCATTTAAWATCTTGCATGAGATAAATTATTTTCCTGGCAGTGTGCTACATTCTGGACAGTAGCCCAGCTATGGGTGAGTAATGAAGAATGGCTGGGATTAATTTTTAAATTAAAATAAAATTCTAGTGTGTTTTCAAAGGCATGTAAAATTGGTTAACAGCAAAGAAAGTGGTTTGTTTTGTTAATAACTTTGATAAAGGAAGATTACAAAGAGAGTTTACTTTTTGTTGGTCTTGAGAGAATTCTAATGCCTGCCACAGTCATTAGTTTTAGAGGGCACAGTTTCAAGCTTGTCAGGACAAGTCCATGAAATTGGTAGCACTGCACAGCACCATAAGGTTTGATAGGTATGAAATGCATTTGCTTATCTGTAAAAACATAAATTCTATTTACTGTATTTTCCAGGAAGTAACAATTACTGTGAAAATCTTCAGAACCCATTTGGTGTATATTTGAGGTGAAATCTATCCTTTAATATTTTCAAAATGTTCAAACTTACTTTAGATTTGTTTTGGTTTCTTAAATACTTTTATTTAAGATTGTGACTTTCCTGTCCTCTRATCACCATGGTTTACAAGGCAAATGCTTATTTCTGGGATTCAGAACATGCTAACCTTTCATCAGAGCTGGAAGAATAAGAATACTGTTCTCCTTCAATAAGAACAGTACTGAAAAAGGTGCCTTAAATGTTTATTTTCCTGCAAATGTTCTCGCACTGTCCACTTCTGGTGACACAGCCACCTGTGGTAGCTCYAGAGCAATGCTCTGGCCCTGTACCATGAGGAAGCTGTGGGTGTTTTTCTTACAGAATTACACTTTTGGCTTGTGGCATGGAAGGAGCAATGAGACAGGCTGGAGGGTTTGCTTCCCCTTCCTTCTCCTCTCTGCAACAGAAGAGCTTAAATTCAGCAAGTGGGRCATATTTAAATCTTAAAAGCTCTCAAGTGAGTACATTTACTGTTCAACAAAGGCACCTCCCTGCATGATGAAGATTGATTCCAAGCCTGGCATGCAAAACCTGGACAGATTATATAAGATTTTTATTTACTAAGGTTCATAATTCATTGACCAATCTACTGATCAACTCTGCCTGGAAAGTTTGTGGCTCCTACTTTAGACTAAAGGATATTAACAGAAACTTTCTCAGCCCGATCTCAAGTTCATTATATAAGCATATAATAAAGCATTTAATAAAATCATTGTGGTAATGTGATACACATTACAGCTAAACAACTCAATGTCTCTTTAACCACAGTAAATTATTACTGATTTTTATATTAGGAGACTGTATTAAAGTAATAAATGGTAAATCTGCTATTTTTCMTTCAGTGACTAATTTCCTCATATGGAGTGGCTAAGCAAACACAGGTGGTAAGAATCCCTTCTCCTTGGGAGCTTTCAATAACTATTTACTGGATGTCTGTCTCCAAATAACAGTAAAAAAATGAACATTTTTCTATTCCTTTTGGATGAGGAAACTGTCACAGTTTCAAACTCTACCCTGAAGACACTCAGCTCTGCTGAGAGTCTCAGCTTAAAATAGCTTTATTTGGAAATCTATTTGAAATCAAACTGTCTGCTCCAAAAATGAAGGAAGCATCTATCCATCCGCAAAGACATTAATTCCCAAGGGTAAAGAATCCAAATTGTGAGTGAACACTCACCTAAATTTCTGAAAGTCCATAAAAAGAGACTTTAATGTTCTGAGGTTTTGAAAACATAACCAATCATGGCCATGATCAGTCACCTAAACAAATGACCTGGTCTTCAGATGAGCTCAGCACTTACAGTTTGGATTAAAAGGAACAAGAGGCTGTTCATTGACCCACTTTCTTTAAAAAATAGGTCACTATTTGATGTATATTAGGCCACTAATAGAAGCACCTAATTTTGTTATAATTTTTAATGAGATTTTTTCCTAATACATTACTACTCATTATTGTCATATTTTGCTCTCTAAGCACAGATCAGCAATTACAATATATAATTTATGAATAAACCCCCAAGACAGGCAAAAAAAGAAGGTATTTTCTAATATAGTTCATATTACAAGCATATTAGTTTCCATAATAAGCAATTTTCCACATGGTTTATATCAGAAATGAGAGTTCTAAACTAGGCACCTCTTTGAGTGTCAATCTGATCATAACCATTGCACAACCATCAATAAAGTGTTCTGTGCTTCATTGAGATGTCCACACTGTAAATAACTACWCTTGCTGGAGCAAACAGATGTAAATGGCAAGGTAGATTTTATAGGTCTTGAACTTTGGGGGTTGGGGTTTTTTCTTTTCTCCTCAGATCCACTCCAAAATATGACTTTGACAAACTTCTGATAAACTTTGAAAAAGGYAACAACATATTCATTTTAATGTTAGCAGCTCTTGCATAGGAATTACATGACATATAATTCTGTTTTAAACAGTGGGATGGTGAAACAAGAGAGACTGCAATGATGACTTCATTAATATAATATAAAATTTCCAAAAGAAATAGGAAATATTTCTACACTGACCATAGTCTGTGTTTTCCGGCTCCCAACAATTCGATGGCCAAAAATAGGGTGTCTATAGACAAAACAAAGAAGTAGGAAACTCAAGTTAGGCAATGCATTATACAGTCCTTGGATTGATACTGGTTTTCAGAATCTGTTAACATTTTTGGTAGACCTATTATACTGTTAACTCCACATTTTTGAAATAGGCATCAAAACTGGAAATTACATTTGCACATCTGTTTAYAACACTAGTGTCAGAGCAACACTAAAAAAGAAAAATAAAGTGTTATTTTTGTTCTCAAAGTTAGGGGAACAAAATGCACAAGGCTAAGTAGTGGTGTTGTCTTTTACATCTTCCTAGAAATACAGCTCTCACACATCCTGGAAGATCAGTTTTAGAAGGTATAAAGACAGAAGATCCTTTGAGGTAAATTCAGTTCTTGATTTCTGAGAGTTTTCATTAGTACAGATAAAGATATAAATACATTCAATAAATACTTTTCTTTAGGAGTTATTTGTTTAAAAATGACACTAAAACCACCCTGTTTTCACAAAAAAAAATTTAAAGTCTACTTTTTAGTAATTGTTTACCAGTTGTGATTTAAAATGTGATTTTTTTAAGGGAAAGACAATAATGTACCAAAAACCACTTCAACACCATGCTTAATAAAGCTGTGCTAAATGTATGGTTAAAAGAATCCACGTCTAACAAATGAAGAATATGCAACTGTATAGGCATTTTTCATACAAATCACTTCATTTTTAAAAYAGCAGTTTTTGTTAAAATGTAAATTATTATAGTAATTTTTACACAGCAGATCATCCCTATATAGGCTTGGGTGTTGCACTCAATGATCCCTGTGTGTCTCTTCCAACTCAGAATATTCTGTGATTGAGTGACTGATCTATATATATACACACACACAAACAGATACAGAGAACTATATAGTATTTGAGCAGCTGAATGAAACTCATTAAATGTGTGAACTGGTTTGAGTGGTATTTCAAAATACAGGCACTGCTTCAGGAAAACCTTCTGCTTTACTCTTGTTTCATATTGTTTTTTCTCAAAAACCTGCCAGCTGCAAAAATGGGTACCTCTTTGCTGCCTGCTTCCATTCAAAATTGTTTCAATGTAATCTGGAAACCAACAGGGCTGAAGGCTCACACATTGACACCAATTGTCAAATTAAACATATATTGGGAAAAAATTCTCAGTATTGTAACATGAACACATCARCTTTAATAGAAGCATTTCACAACTTGCTACTTATCAAGCTACAGAAAGGAGCTAAAGGATAAAAAAAGATCTATCATGAGCTAACTTCAAAGGCTAAGATGTGCTTCTTGCAAACTGTTTTGTAAGGGAGCAACAATAAGTAATTCTCTGATCAACCATTCCTTCACAGTGCCACTGAAATCAAAGTGACCAGCAGAAGCACATATAGGCACAAATGGAAAGAAGASGAACCCCCAAACAATGAATTGTAGTACTCAGCAAGTTTTGTACAAGCAACTATAAAATAAATTTATTAGTGTGATTCATATAAAGTAAAAAGTCACCTTCACTGAAATAGTTTACAAACAGGGAGAACAGCCCTTCCTTAGAGGTGTGAAATGTATCTCCAGAGAGGCCCAAGAAGAAAAGCACAGCTGCATCATTTCTCTGCTAACAGGGAGGTTAACCTCTGTTTACAAGTTAAAGCTGATCTTCTGGAAAAAGTATATAGTGAGGGTTACTAAATACATAGAAACCATATCTGCTCAGGCAGCACTTCAGCTGAAACTCTTCCAGTTGTGGGCATACTTGCTGCAAAATCCATACTAAAGCCCCTCACGCATACTTAGGATTTCTATTGACAAATTACATATACTCACATCCCAGCTGAGATTAAAAAAAAATAAATTCCATCCTCTGATTTAGAGAAAAATGACCATAATTGCTTTCAGCATTCATTTCACAACAGGCTTTGAGCAAATACCATATATTCACGACTATGTGTTGGTGATGTTAGAGAAGGACTTTGTTGTTTCATGCATAAATGAAAAGCTATGCATGGCTGGCATACTGTCTTCAGCATTTAGTTGAAATAACACATTTAACCTTTGCTGGAACTTGCACTTTGGTGGTGTGGAAGGCAGTGTGGGCACAAAACAGAGTAGGGAAAGGGGACATGATCATCAATATTGTGAATGTTGTCACTTTAGCTCTCTAGGAGACAGAGATGGCCAAGGCTTTTCAGAAGGATAGAAAGGTGCATCCTAAATGTGGAGATGAGATCACAGAAAATGCACAAAATAATATGTTGGCTACCAAAGATGAGTCTAAGCCTCCCTGTGCCAGGGAGATAAAAGCAGAAAAGTTAAAACAGARCATGAGTTTTAATTAGTAAAGCACATGATGAGCCATACTAAAAGGTTTCGGTGATGTGTGATAAGGTAAGCCAAAAAGAAAAACCAATAAAAGGCAAACATTACAATATGAGAAAGGGGTTCAAATAACAGCTAGTACAGATAAGTACAGAAGACTATTAACTGCCTTYCTTGTTCTAGAGTCCAGAAGGAGGGAGACTGTAGGCAGATAAAGGTCTTTCTGCCCAGGGAATGGCACCCAGGCATGAGCTCTCCTTGCCGATGCTCTGAGCCGGGCAGGCACAAGCTGTCTCTGAACTGCAAGCCGTGCCCTTGCCTGCCTGGTGCTCGGATGCATTTAATGGGACTTGCTGAGAAGTACAGCTCATCCTCTCAGGTGCTGCAACGTGGCCAGAGCCGGCTGGCATCCAGCCAGATGCCTCCCAGAGGGAGCAAAGTTCAATTCTGTCTGCAATCAGCTCTGTGAACATGCCCAAAATTAATTTGGRCATGGAGATAAGGCTACAGGGCGAAGCACAGGGAAAAATAAAAATCAGGGAGGAAAATATTTTTATGAGGTCAGACAGTTCAGGTTAAAAGGCTGATGAAATTCAGCACAGAAAGCTTAAGGATTTACTGTGTTTTCATGTGAGTAAACTGTATTTATTTCTGAAAAAAAAAAAAAAAAAAAAAAAAGCCTCACCAAACTAAAAAAGGATGCCTGGTTTCTCAGGATTGTGATTTATATGCGTGTGTAAATATTATGATGAAATTTGTACTCTGGTATTTCTCTTCCTCCTCTATCTCCAGTACTCTATAACAATTGCTATCTAGCTGGTGAGAGTTATCAAAAGAATTTAATTACCTACATGATTCTTAAAGGGGTGCAAGTTACCTCAAGAGTAATTTATACATGGAAAAAATATTTATTCAAGTAATCTTTGAAACATGGGCAGTTATTAAAAAAAAACAACACATAAAGCAGAGGCGCTTCAGAAGATTATAGCAAAGGGAAGAACTGTATTTACCAGAAAAGGAAAAAAGCTTAAATTTTCTCTTTTTTAATCTTACTAGATCTACTCTTTAGATTGAATAGTTGTAATACACTATATGTTTCTAATCTTTGAAAGCTAAAGGTTACTTGGWTTTTTCAAATACATAATAGGTCACTGACAGTGTAAAACCCCTACTAGATGAGAAATAAACAGTAGATACTAAGTATTTTGACCAAGGCAAAGTCCTACATTACTTTCTTACCAGCAAGAAAAGAATTATGGYAACACCCTAATATATGTGCTTAAAAGCAGCTAAAGCTGCTGATAAAGCTGTATTCAAACAGTAGATACCTATTATTCACTTTCAAAGCAGGAAATGGCATTGATACGGGCAGAGACAGGGAAAACTAAAGATACGAACAAAAATGGGGATAAGGGACAGATACGGACTTACACAGAAAGAAAGTACAAAACATCAAGATGAAAAAAAGCTTTTAAAAACCTGAGACACTGAAAATAAAGCATTATATAAAATCCATTTCTGATTAATGGACTTTTGCAATGCTGTATTTTATGGACAAAACCACCAACAATAACCTTGCATGTTGTTAATATGAGTGATGTTTTTCCACAGGAATATTCCACATTTTTCTTGTATAATTGCTTGGTTTTAACAGTYGTAAAATTCTGGTCTTAATCTGAAGTTTACCTTGTTCCTTATTACAGACATCAAACAGTTTAATCACATAACACGTGACTCTAACGCATGTGCTGAATTTCCATTTCTGTTTCAGAAATCTCCACACAATTTCACGCTCCAGATATTTAACAATCTCTGAGACAAATTTACTAGAGAGGTTATCCATGAAGAATACAGGAAAAATATTTGCCTTGTTAAACACAGAAGGATTAGGAAACAAGAAGAGTCTGATAAGAAGATCCCTGGCTTCACGGAATGAGGTCAGAATGAGAATAGGGGGCACATGCAAAGGAGAAAGCTGCCTGTTCTTATCTGATCTGTTGAAAAAATCCCACAACAATGCAGGGAGGCTCTGCTCACATAAACTACCTTCTACATAGCTGGACTATGCAAACAAAGCTTGCGTCAACTATTTGTTACAAATCATATATCCAAGTACACAGTAGAAGAATTATAACATTCCTTGTSATATCATATATTCCTATAGCACAAATATTACGCAAATTGTGTGCCTTGCTTCATGATCGAGAAGCCCTTAAGTGAAGATTTCACTCAGCAGAGTTTTGGATGTGGTATAAAACTACAATTTGCAAAGATAAAATTATGAAATACTGAGGGGTTTTAGTTTTCTTTTGTGAAACAAAAGTGTAGAAAAACCTAAAGGAGTTATTATACTTAAGAATTTTACTTTTTCACAGAAGGAAATATGAAACAGTTCATCATGAAGAAATATTAAACAACAAAAGTTTGGCATTTTTCCATGACATCCCATGTATAGCTGAAGGAAGGTGGGTGGTAGAACGGTTTAGGGAAAGTCAAGTACTGTTTATCAGCCCAGGCAGAAATAAGGCTGCCAGTTTTTATCAATATGCTTTTGAGTCACTTTGTTTAATTGTAGACGTAATTCGAATCAGCAGCCAAGACCAGTCAGGAGCTAGAGGAATAAAGCTCACCTAGCACAGCAGATGAGATTGCAGATACATTTAAGCCTTCTGAAAGGAACAGTTACAAGGCTCTTCATCCTACTGACAGAAAACTGGTTTTGCACACACTAATATATCCTGGTTCTCTTGCTTTATACACTAATATCATTAGGGATATTACCACATAAATCCATAATCCTCCTGTTAATAAAGGCATATGAAATAAAATCCACAGCAAATATATTCCACAGCAAACAAATTGGCAGAAGTGCTGCTATGCACTATGAGCAATCCAGTGATAAAGTAAATAGATCTGCTTTGGCTCTATCTCAAAATTAATCAATAATAATATCTAAGCTAATGAAACAGCCACTTGTAAAAATCATTGTTGCCCATCAGCTTTTATAAAACATGATTAATTTCTATGTATTAAACTGTATTACCAAGGAGGGAGACCACTAAGCATCTTCCAGCTACCTCTTGTTGACAGTGATAAGAAAACAATTGCTGCCTCTGAAGCTGCTCCCCTTCACTACATGAAATATTTTTAAATCCAATTACTTGGATGGGGGAGGAGTATTCAAATCACTTATAAACCTTACATATTACTGCTACTCCTCTCACAGGCACCAGGAAGTCTTTATAAACAGCAGAAATCAAGCCTTTGCTGAAAACTAGTTATACATAATCTCAAATGCTTTGCATGGTGAATGGCAGAATTCACTAGCTTCCTGTTTTACTTTCATTGCAGTTGACAAAAATGATTTCTTGGTAAAGTAAAACGGTAAGATGCTAGTCTAGCACTGTCAAGCCCATACAGGAAGCAAGCTGGTTAGCTCAGAATCATTAAAAAAGAGGTTGAGGAATTTGGAAACAAGATTTTGGCTTTGTGACTCCTCTTTTCTAACCTGAAAAGAGGATGAGCAGGGAAAGCAGTGTGGAGCAAAGTGTGTCTGAGTAAGAAGTTAAAAAAAAATCAAAAGTGGCACTGATAAGGCAATCAGAAAGACACATGGATTTGAAATATTTTTCAACCTTAACAGAAACTTTTCTCAGAAACCTTAATAGAACCTGAGTGTAACAAGCCTGACCTSAAAAGACAATGAATTAGTTATTGCACCTGCAATTGCCAAAGAAAAACTGCCAAATGCTGGATAAGATAGCCTACTTCTTTTTCGTTTCTAAAATGTAGCTTCTAATCCTTCCCTCAAGGAACAGAAGATGATCCAGAAAGGCTCTGGAGGGTGGCTGAAGAGCTGTGATGTTCAGCCGCAGACACAGCATTCAGAAAGGCCAGAGGATGGCCCAGGATGAGCCAAGAGGTAGCAAGCTCAGCACAGCTGAYTCAAAAAGATGCAAAAAGCAATGTAATTCCACCTGAGACATGAGGTGTCCACAACACTTCACATTCTAAACTATTTTGGAACAAAGATATTTCAAGATCCTTACAGTGATYGCTACATAATTTTATCCCAAATTTAGGCATGGGAAAGCAAGACCAGAGAGGTTAAATGCATTTGTCAAGAAAGTATTCCCAGTGGTAGAACACGAGAAGACATAGAAGTCCACACCTTCATCTCTCTAAGGTCATGAATTTTGCTGCTCTCTTCACCACACTCATGCTTTCATCAGAAACTGTTCCCATTTTCACACTTTTTTCTCAGATATTTSTGCTGTTCATCTTAAAAGTTACAAAACAACAGCAAAACATAACTCTCATCTCTGAAAATTAATTTATGTTAAATCATGAAYTAATGTATTTTAAAAATGGGAGTGTGACCAGCGCTAGTCTCAGAATCCTAGGAGTTTGTTTATAGCCAAAAAAATATTAGGAAACATTATTTTTCACTATTAACATCAAGGGATACTATGAATCTAGGACTTGCAGAGGAAAACAGCACATTTTGCTGCAGGATGATATTACAGAAGCTTAAGCTTACCAGTTGAGAGGGAAAATCAGGCATTCCTCAACAGGACAGACATATTATCATTAGAGTGAACATAGACGAAATGTCTCCATTTCAAGATGGAAGATATGCTTTCTAAGGTGCAGCTTGCTTTTCTTTCTGGGCTCCTCACATTTATTTGTTCTCAGGTAGAGGAAGATGGTAAGCAAATATTTGGGTCTTTCTTTGCTCCCAGGCTTAAATTACCAGGAAAAGGGAATGCAGTTGTGTCTGCTGTTCCTTATTGAGACTGATAAAAAAATTCCTTCTTAATTAGGCAATTAATATTTAGATCCATCTCCTTCAAATTGAATTGATATCACAGGAACCAATCTAATTAACACCTGAGTAGGTCAATGAATGATCCAGATTTTTTTTTTTAATTCAATTATTTAAAAAAGCAGATGTAACTATAGTCTTGCCTCCTGATGGCATGATTAATAACTCAAAAAATATAATTTTTGCCCATAAAAGGSCATTTGTCCAAATGCAACACAATCTTCACTTTAGCTATTTCTATACAACAGAAGGTGGTTTAAAACAAGCTGGAGATAATTTTACTGTCAGGTGGGAATGTGTCACACTTTAGAAAACATAACACCAAGCACAGGGAGAACATTACTACAGCTAGTCTGTTTTTTGCAGGTCAGGTCTTTGTATTGCAGAGATTTCTCTGCTGGGATGACTTCTGAACTTTTCAGGGCTGGCATGGTTTATTCTTTCCATCAAAATATCCTGAAATTTGTGAATCACGTCCAATGCTTAGAAGGTTCTACTTGCAAAGTACCTGAACATCTATTCTAGTGCAAAATTCCCACATTTGCAGTCAACCTTTTGTCCTGTTTGAATGTGCTCTCTTTGTCTTCTAATTTGACAGTTCAGTAACACATTTTACACTAGCTTTATTTTGGTGGGGAACATGGAGTAATTTTGGTGTTATAACTCCAGTTAACACTATGTCACGACTATGAATTTTTTCTTGTCCTGTACATTAACAGCTAAAGTTGCATTGTCACAACACAAAGTCACATGGGAATAGCAAAGCAAAAGGCACCAGGGAACAGCAAACAGCCCAAACACTACAGATATAGACCAAGCAACACTTGATTAAAGACTCTTATGCATTTTCCAAATAAGCACCAAATTCTAAACTTAAGTAAATAAACTGAGAAGATTTTGTAATCTAGCCCTCACTGAAGCTTTGTGTCCAAGCCTCTAGGCTGTAGACCTCTCTGAGAAAAGCTCCCAGCAGGGTCACTACAGTACCCTCAGTGGTCCACAGTGCAGCTAATTCTGGCCTGTACCCTCATTCAGTCAAACCATCATGCCAGCAGAGAKGCTTGTTTCTCATGCAAGAGACAGAGGCAGGCCAGCAGCTGTGCAGAGTTCAATGGCTAGCATTCCTGTAAGGAAGTACTATTCTCTGCAAAATGAAGTCCTTGTATATTTTGTCCTTCTGAACGCTGCTAATGCAGACACCGAGTCAAGAACCGGAGCCTCAGCCACTCCACGATTCCTTCCTTACCTCATAAGCACATCCCTAAGCCCCTCCAACATGTGCCATCTCCTTTATATTGAGCATTGAGAAGAATGAAGCCTCATGGGTTTAAAAATAAACCTTTTCCTTCAAATACCCTTTCCAGAATCAAAGGTAACTGTGGATCTAGGGGAGGAGGCTTGGAATGCCTTCTCTTAGAATTACCCACACACACATCTAGCTTTCTGTCCTGATGAGGAACAAGATTTTTGCACAGAATGACTCACAGGATCTAAATCAGAAAATAGGATAATATTGTTTGCATGTATGCAATAATAATTCTCATTCTTGMCAGACTCTGTTGGGCATAGTTCATTATATTTATGCAAGGATTTTGATTTATACAAATATTATGAGTCTTTATGTGGGTCTGTAGGACTTAAGACACAATATTGGTGAAAGTATTGTACAGAGATAAATATAATACTATATTTGGGACTATGACTGGTCTCCAATCTCCATTTTCTTCTCCATTTTAAAGATTACAACCTCAGTTCTATTTTATTCTTGTTGGCTTCTTATTTAAACAATCTTTAAGACAAAGCTTAAACCTATGTAATTTGAAGACAATAGATTTTGTTCTACCAGATATTATTTTACTTTGAGTGTTCAATACAGTTAGAAGTAACAGAGAAGAACAAATTCAATTTCATAGTGATAGTGATCATATCACTTCAAAGCAATAAATATCTAGAAAAGACCTAGGAGCACCTGCTGGTGAGACTTACTAGGAATACCACCTAATAGAAAGAGCAATACAGAACACAACCACCATGTCAAAAGTGGCACATGATAAGCAAAGTTAATTCTTTTCATTGAATACATAATCTGGTACTTTGCAGTCATATGTGTTTTAGGTCATTAGCAGTGTTGTTCTGCAAAATTCTAGCCCACAAGTCATTCTTAGAAAAACAACACTTCTGCTCCCAGGGCCTTAGTTTGAAATTTAATATATTAAAATACAACTATGTAGGTTTCTGAATAATGTATGTGCAAGTATAGGTATACACACATGTACATATTTATGCTTCCAGCTTGTTCTGAACTATCTGCATCTTTGTTGCACWCAATGGGCCTGACAGATCAATGTAGAAATGTCTCTGCACTTGTTAAGAGAATACACACCAATACTACTGAATGATCACTAAGGAAATTCTCACAGTAGAAGGAAAATAAATATTAACCTCCATTATTTATCAGATTTCTGCTATAGATTTAATATTTAAAATATCTCYCCCTTTCCAAATGAAGACTATGCAGGGAAAAAGAGGCAACAAGATAATTTAGTTTACTACATTTCCAAAATACTGTATTGATACATTTCATGAGAGAGTTTCACATTTAGCATTATCACACTTTTATTCCAAATATGAAAATGGTCATTGTCATCTTAACAATCTGCTGACAGTTTATAAAGAAAATACTTCTACCACTTTTTATTTTTAGGGGAATTTACACCCATTACCAGGTTTTGTAAGAAACAAAGTACGGTTACATTTGCTATGAACTTTTCTGCAAGGCCTTTGAGCCTCCATTTGTGCAAGTCAAGAACACATTGAAAATACTCACCTGGAATCGATAAAAGGTGCCATCATCCTTCAGTGTTAGAACATGGTCTGAGATTGGAAAGAAATAGCCATGTGCTGCCATCAGAGTTCCCAAATGCAGAGCTTCAACTGTTTAAAGAAAAAAGATAAACTTTAAAAGTCAAATAACTTCTTTTCAGCAATTTAGTTTTGTTGATAAGATTTACTGATATCCTCCAGATAGCCACTTTGTTCTCAAAGTCCTACCATCATGAAAGAGCTTTCTTTTTCTATGTAATATAATAATGCAACCAAAAAAAAAAACAAACACTGCACTTTCCTTAGCAAATAGCTCAGATGCCCCACTTGTAGCTGCAGCTCCACTGCTTATACCGACATTAACAGGTGGCCTTAATGTCAACTCACTCATTCTGAAGCTGAAAATAGCTATCATTTTTACCCTGATGGTGCAACCTACTTTTCTTCTTCAGAGCAGTTCCTGTTTAAATAGTTGATTCCAATTACATGACATCTTCCTCACTAGCTTAAAAGAGCTACTGTAAAGAAAGAGATTTCCTTAAAAGTTTCATATTACTGGGAAAATAGCAAATAATAGCAGGATACCAGAACAGTTTAGGCAGGAAGGTACCAGTGGAGGTAATCTTGAACAGACACAGCTTGAGCTATTTGCTGAGGACCTTGTCCAATTTTTTTAATAACTCAAAGGAGTRAGACACCACAACCTCTCTGGATACAGCACAGATTCGTATTAATCCTCTAAGAAGTGTTCATTTGTTCCTGTTTTCTATAATTTGGCTTTCAGTAACGGCAAGCATAGATTTGTCTTGTCCTGACTCCTAAAAACATCACTGCAACACATGACAGGCAGTTAAGCATCATCACACAGAAGTTCATCAGCATCCCAAAAATTTTCCTCCTCCACCCTTGCTAAAGACATTCACAGGAGATAGAGGAGAAGCTGTGGGGCATCTTTAGGCTAACCCAAAGCCAGTGGGCATGTGAAAGGAACAAGAAAGGGGACCTGGACAGTCCTTAACGAGAGTACATAACTCTACCGGGGTTTATTGGGTGCCAAATATTTATTGACACCCTGCATTTAGCAAAGTGGTTTTCTTCCCTYCAGCAGAGCCATTATCTAAGAAAATACAACACACCCTCTCTGGCAGTGAGCTCTCTGGCCTGATGTAAAACACCACATTGCTGTTTAGATTTTTCCTAGATGCAAGCCTACAAGAAATCTCTCTAACAGAAGGAGAGATTTGCTTTACTCCTTGTGCTTGCAATGTCAGTAAATCCCCACTTGAACTYTGTCCTAATCATTATACAATTATATATTGTTGTTATTCATTCATTTCAAGCAGCTAAATTCTATTATCTCTTGGATCAGAAATTTGGAGTCAATCTCTAGCTTGTCACTCACTGAGAATTTTTTTACTTTGTTTCAATTCATCTGTGTTTTAATTTTATTAAGCTTTTCTTTGCTCTTCACATTGCAACTTATGGAGGATTCTAATAAACTTTATTTTTGAATGTATTATGTATCTGCGTGGAATGAGAGAAAAACAAGGAAGAAATGTGTTGACTTTTCTAGAGAAAGGCTTTCTCAGACAGGGGGGACAGGGCTTGCCAGGGATCTCTGACACACACGAGAGCACATTCTCTTCAGATTTAGCATACACTAAAAAGGCTCCAGATTTGCTTCATGCACTTCCTGGATTCTGAATTGTAATATTTTTCAATATCACAAGGAGATCATATTATTTCCTTTTACCCAGAAAGTTTTAGAGCCTATCTGGACTACTRTATCCAGTTACGATCAGTATGTCCATTGCAGTACAAGACAATCAACAAACTTAGAGCGAGTCYAGTGGGAGTCCAGCAAGATCAATGAGGCTGGAGAATGCACCCTATAAGGAGAGGCTGGAGGAGCTCAGTTTGGTCAGACTGAAAAAAAAAAAAGAATGTTTTGGAGGTGTCTAGAAGTACCTTTCCAATAAGTAAAAGGAGATTTTAAAATGAGGGAGCCAATATCTTTCTGGAGTTGCAGGGCAATAAAGTGAATAAATAAATGAGACAATGATAATAAACTTCTATTTTTCTTTCCTTAACTAATAGACAACTAATTTTCTGAATACACAAATATTCCCTTTTAATATCCAYCTAAGATCCACTGTAGCTCACACTTTGAGTGCTACAAACACACTTYGAGTGTTATACCCAGTAAGTAACGCCCAAAGATTGTATTCCTGCCTCACACCAGGCTGGTGGAGGACTAATACTGATGCTCTCTGCTCAGCAGTAGAAGTAGAGCTACAGCACAGAAAGAAAACTCAGCTCTCAGGAGGTCTCCAAGCAAGGGGTTGTCCTTTTTAACACAGACGCTACAAAGGCAACACTTAGATATCCATCTCAATTTGCTAAAATCAGACTAAAAAATAACTACTGCAAGAAGCCAATGAAGTACAGCAGGATTTAGGAAACAAGCCCAAGACCTCGAAAAGGAAGCTGAAGCCAGCAGCAGACTACCACAACATGCCTAAATTCCTAGAATTTAAATACAGACAGCTTCTATATCCCCCAGATATTCCTGCATATGAAGTAAGAGGATTTTAACTTAAGAAGCACATTTCATCTGGAAAAATGGCAAATGTATATTAGGAACATCAAAAACGTCTATGAAGTACATTAGTTAAGAAGAAGAAAGAAGTCTGAAAGAAATGTTTTTTTACACAAAACAGTTGCCAGGTAGAAAGTGTAATGTTTACATGTTTTCAGAATACAAACTCAAAAAATTRGAGGGACAGACTAAAAAAAAACACTGTTTTTTTAGATGTCAGGTATACACAGATGCACACAGAAATGTGGTATTTATACAACTATTATTTCCTAATCCTCAGTCACTGTGAATAAAAAATATGCAATGTAAAATAATTCTCAGTCACGCCCAAATAGCCCCACTGAGGAGGCATAATTCAAATGGCAGTCACTGCTCTACAGTGAATAAAAACTGGAAGCCAGAGACATCATRTAAAAAATCTGAGGAAGACAGTGCTCATGGAGGTCTAATTGGTACAACAGAGTAGACTTCAGCTTCCTCTACTCAACACCTTGTTTTGAAGACATCAATTATCTGATTTATGGTTCCAGATAGTTCTAGTAGTTATACTGTTAAAAAGTGGAATGGCATATTCAAAAAACATATTCAAAATGTACCCAAACCACTATTTTAATTTTTATAGCTAAAAATAGGGAAGTCGTGAGAGTTACCACAGCTAATGGAAGAACTGCCCCTCAGGTGAAAGACAGAAATGCATCTTTATGAGCCTGTTGCATTTCAACAGGATACAAAATTTTTATATAAAATCAAAATATTGTTTCGGATATAGGTTTGATTTTTAATGTGCATGTTATTGCTTGGCTAAAAGCTAAGAAAAAGCTAAAAAATACATGGTTCACTCTGCTGTTGAACTTTATTTAGCTGAGTGGGTGAAGTGAACAACACATGCACATGGATTGATCAGCAATCATTTTTGTGAGAAATAATATTGCCCAGCCATYTGCTGCACCATTACAAGACAGTGACCTTGACAGATTAAATGTCAGTCACTTTTAATATACTTCGTTATACTAGAGTCAGATATTTTCAATGCTTTGGGACAGTGTCAACCTGATGAAATCACAGGAATGAAAAACATACTCTGGTAGYTGAGTTTTGATTTTATTTTCTTTTTAAACATAATGCAGTTTTCTCCTTACTATAATAAACTATTGCATGGATTGCTGAAAGTTTGTTCATGWTAAATTGCAGGGTATGGTATTATCGCTGGAATAAGTTGTTTCTTAAGACAATGTCAACGGGGGAAATTAAAAAGGATGAATGATTCTTGTTTTTCTTTGGAATAAACATTTCAGTGCTTTGAAACCCCTTAAAAGATATGTTTTCAGTGACTAGTGTGGATGCCATTTTTTCTTATGCATCTCAGGCCTACAGGTGACGTCGTATCTATTTTTATTTTTACACTGAAGTCCATAAAACATTTTATGGTATCACATCGTTATGTCTCACAACATCTGAAGCCCCTTGCAGTATTTTTGAGGGAGTGAGAAAAGAAAAATAGAGTATTTTCCAAATGTGCTCCACTTTCAAACATCCTTTTTTGGTATCTTACATTCTGTGTGGAAAGATTTCCTACAAAGAATGTTACTTGGGGTATTTTACATGCTTAAAACTGATTTATGATGCAAAAAACCCGTGATAAATCCAAACTTGCCAGGTTTCCATATATTTTTTGGATCCAAAAATGTCAAACAAATGAAAACTTCCCTTTCCATGAAACAGTAAAGAGTTTGGTATTCTGAGTTATTGGTCGAATGTAAAATCCATCCCAGTGCTAAAGTGCATTGCTAAGCCACACAGCAGCCTGGAAAAAGAATTAATGAGTCAGAACTTCATGAGCACACATTCATTGTGAGTGTGGAATGCCAAGACTTTACACTCACTCGCACCACACTCCTGCTGTCATTTCATCACCAGTGTGAGCACAAGCTGCAAAAGATTAGAATAATAAAATACAACCTGCTTCTCACGCTGACATGAAGTGTAGGAGAGCCTCGTTGTCTCAGCCTCACTGTGGTGTTTAAAGAGGAGAAAATAAAACAGCTGGAAATGTTATTGAACACCCACAACACTGCAAACCTCTCTCTTTTGTCCCATCTGAAGGACTGAATTTGTAAGGGGAGCAGCACTTGTTGAGTCATTTCAAGGAGGATGAAACAGTTGGTGAASGAAGAGGTACTATTTACCCAAGAACAATTAAAGTGAGATTCATACTTGATTTCAAGATAGGAATTACAAACCACGGTATCTGCCAACAAAGCATCTCACCTAAATAGGTAGGATTTTTCTTGTGCTAGACAGTGCCTGCTGATGCCATCAGCAAGACTGAGGCTTTGGTAGGAGCATCACTCAGCAGGTAAGTAGGAAAATCTATCAAAGACAGGCCCAAGGCATGGCAATTTCCACCCCTACAGTCTCAGCTGAACTCTAACATGCAGTGCATCCCAAGTCTAGAAAGAATGGTGCACACCTGAAATATTGACTACTTTCTGCACAAAAGCATCCAGCAAAA